CATTGTTTCATTTTTATTTTCATTACGAACATTGCAGAAGGCTCCCTTCACTTAATTCAGCTTAAACAAACACCATCTACCCTTCTTTAACTTCTCTTACCAAGTTGCCAAGGAGAGAGACTGCTTCCATTGCCATGATGATGTAGCTTTTTTCTTTCGAACACATTTCTCAAGACGGGGAGGGGTTAATTAAGAGGGAAGCCCTGTACAGCAGGGGCAGCTCCTACGGTGCAGACACAGACGCATCAGCCGTCTGGCAGACGCAGCGGGAGGGCACTGAAGCACAGACTCAGTACTTGCTTCTTTCCTAAATAGAAAATGAAGCGAACGCTGTATCTCACAAGATCCCCAAAGGAAACATATTTACATCGGGAGACCACCGTTTGCCTCTATTACTCTAAAGTACTGAAACTGTGAAAGTGTAATTTGACAGTAAAACAATGAACCTCCAAAGGCAGCCTTCCTAAAATGACATTGACAGGCCATCTGGCACATGCTCACAGATTAACCTGGCACGAACCGTCATTTTCAATCTCCACGTACCTGTCCTCAGCCCTTCTTACATTAGGATTCACGGCATTTGCTGTTCCAGCTTCCTCTGGGGGCTCAGAGAGCCCTGAAGGTATCTTTTGGTTGAGTGGTGGGAACCTGACTCTAATCTTTACCTCGCAGTGTCTAGCTGTCTCTTCCAAAAACACACACGCCCTCACCGTGTGACATGACACAGGTCAGGTCTCTCAATTCCTAGCCAGAAGGCCGAATCCGCCACGGGGTATCCAAACTTCTCATCTCATTGACCTCAGACTTCCTTAGGATTTGGACTAGGTTTCTTCTACCAGCCTATCTCCTCTCATGATATCCAGAGCATCACACTGCCTAAGCCACCTTCTCCCACTTCTAACCCAGACACAGGCTACTCCTGGGGCACAAGAATGAATGGGACCCAGAGGAAACCAGTGTCATATTCACATTGAACACCTATGTACTGAACACTTTATGTGGGCCATCCCTGCGCTAGAAGTGGAGACACGGGAGATAAGAGGAGACAGGTCCGTGGTCTCAAGCGGATCACTTCCAGGTGGAGAACAGAGATAGGAAACAAGTAAACAACCAGGAGCATGTAGAGAGTGGTAAATACTGAAAAGTAAATCATAAAATATAACACGGGTAGAGCAGTCCAGCGCAACTAACATAGTGTAAGCCACGTGGCTTAAGCAATACGAATGGTATAATATACTGCCAGTAACACAGAAATAGTGTAAATATAGTTTGCATAGCAGCACACGCAGCAAATTAGACGAGAGTAGTAGAGTGACCAGGTGAGGGGCGTGCAACTTTACACTAGAAATGACTCAAGCAATCCCTTCTGAGAATTGACATTTGAGCTGAGTTCTTACATCATTTAGGCCACTTTCGGTGGCAAGTAACAAAATACCATGGACCAAAATGGCTTTGACAACAACAGAAAGAAAAACACACGATAAGAAGTTGAAAAGTCAGGTGGTTCCAGGTGGGCTGGTCCGGTGGTCCATCCAGGTGGTCACTGAGGCTGCGGTTCCTTCCGTCTCTCTCTCCTTCCATGCTCGCCGTGTCAGCCTGGTCCTTGGCCAGCCCTCCAAGGCTCTGAGATCACCATTGCAGCTCCTGTTGTCACCTCCCATGTGGCAGTATCCAGTGGGAGAAGGAGGGACCACTTTCTGGGCATCTCGGAGCCAGGAGGCCCTTCCCAGAATCCCCAGCAGACTCCTCACGCCTCCTTGGCCAGAATTGTGTCACATGCCTTTCCCTAAGCCATTCGCTGGCCAGGAGCATCTGGCTGGACAGAAAGGAGGAAGATGTGCGTGTGTGTATGTGATGGGGCAGCGGTGCTGGTGTGGATTGAGTGGCCCATAGACAGCCAGTTATATCTGCCTCAGACCTGAATGACAGGCAGGTCTCAGTTACAGGAAGATTGCGCTAAGGCCTCCGGAGGGGGATAAGCTCAGGAGAGCCACGGGAGAGAAGACCCATGGGGGACTGGTGGGGAGTCTGTGCAGGGTGGGCAGGGAGGGAAGCGCAAAGGGAGCCTGGAGAAGGAGGTAGTACCAGGTCCTTAGGTCTTGTAAGCTGTGATCAGGAGTTTGGACTTTGCCCCGTGTACCATGGGAAGTCTCTGGCGGGGACTGACGTGAACAGGCAGGGGGTATAGCACTGGGCCAGGCGTCAGCAGTCCTGGGGGCTGGCGGGCATCATTACACACACAGGTGAAGCCCTGGGAAGTGATGTTCCCTTTCTCTACACTGGATTCGGTCCAGGTAAAATGAAAATCATGATGCCCGCCCCACAGAGTTATTTGTGGGGCTTAAGGCTTTGAGAGGGGCAGGCAGTGAGGTCCCACACCAATAAGAGATACCTACTGCAGTTAATTTTCATTATTTGCAGTAGTTATGTCTTACAAAGTCACTGCAAACACTGAATTAGCAAATACTAAACCATTCCTTCGAGAGGAAGTACACACGTGCACACATACATACATCTCATATAGATCATAATAATCCTGAAAATTCAGGACAGTTGAGGTCTGTACTGTAGAAGGTAGGATGGGGAAAGTTCTAGCAATAGGTGATGCCCACCTGAGCCGGGGGAGGCTGAGGGCGGAACCCCCTGCTGCATCCACTGTAGAGTTCTTGTCAGTAAGGAACCTTGTTCTCTTGAGATAGGCCTGCATGTAGCCACTGAGCGTAGGGATCTTTAGGGGTCTTATCGAATGTCTCCCGGGGCAGTGCTCTGGAGGGAAGGCAGGGGTTTCTGTAGAATGGGTCTTCCACCCCTTTTTAAGTACTTAAGGAAGGGCAGTCGGGCTCAGCATTGGGTCCCCATCGCAGGAATTGAAAATAAGAACATGGCGCTCCATTCCATTTTCTGCTCTAATAGAAAATCTTGTTCTGATTGCTCTCTTTACAAATCCTGGGCACAATAATGCAGATTTACATCCCTCAAACATGCCCTAAAAGACAGCTGATTTGCTCGTCTCATGGTTTTTCTTCTCCCTTTTAAAAAGTAAAGCAGACAAAGAGAGGGGACGGGCGAAGTAGATTCTTTTAAGCTTTGAAAAGTGATTGAATTGTCTTTTTTTTTTTTTGCGGTACGCGGGCCTCTCACTGTCGTGGCCCCTCCCGTTGCGGAGCACAGGCTCCGGACGCGCAGGCTCAACGGCCATGGCTCACGGGCCCAGCCGCTCCGCGGCATGTGGGATCTTCCCGGACCGGGGCACGAACCCGTGTCCCCTGCATCGGCAGGCGGACTCTCAACCACTGCGCCACCAGGGAAGCCCCTGAATTGTCTTTTTTCAACTCCCACTGGAATTTCAAGGGGAGAAACACATTAGCTGCCACTTTCCACTGCCATCTGCGGGCAGATTTGCTGCTCAGCGTAGTAGAGCCTGGAGGGCAAGGGGCTGTGGAAGGCTAAGTTCTGACAGGATGGGAAGCGGCTCCCCAGATGAACTCAGCCTGATGCAGTTTCCCTCCAGCATGGCTGCTCATTGCTTTGTGGCCCAGGGTTATCAGGTCAGTGTCACTGTGATTTCTGCCCATCGTCCCATTAGTGGCCTTGGTTAATTATGCTTAAAGATTCCTAAAGACGTTGGTGCCATTGTGAGGTGGCAATGCCAGGGACCTGTGTCTGCGAGGCTGATGCGGGAAGGGGTTTAAGCATCTCGTTAGTTATCTTCTCCTCAGTCTTTGATTTCACTCTACAGTGAACCAGGCTCATATTTTCCTTCTCGTGGGAGAAAATTCACATTCACGCCCTTTTTTTGGGGGGAGGAGGGAGGTGATGATCATTTGTCCCGAACAACATGGAGGTTTGTTAACTTTGAGTTTCGACCTCGGCACTGCTGACATTGCTCTGAGCCGTTCACCTGTTCACATGGAGGGGGCAGTTGGACGTGTGCACCTGGGGCTTGGAAGGGAGGCCTGGGCTGCAGGTACTGCAGTCTTCGTTTGTGGCTTGCAAAACGGGCTGCCTGGTGGCATTCCAGGTGAACTGGGGAGTCCTGACAGCAGCCCAGCACCACACGGTACCCCTCAAAGTAGTGTGTGACCTCCAGCCAGTGACGTCGCATTGCTGGCCTCAGGTTCTTCATCTGTAGAATGAGATTGTGGACCCCTGGCAGTTTTATGGTTCTGTGATGAACTGAGTGTTGGTTTTGTGTCGTCTGCACATAACGTGACCTTTGCTCCCTCCCCCCGCCCCACCCAGATACATACGTAAAAGACATTCATTCTCCTGGTGGTCCAGGAGAGAAAGTCATCAACGTTTTCCTTGCTTATCCGGAAGACGTGAAGTGAAATGGGGGCTTACGTTGTCTAACAGCCAACCGGCGAATGCATGCACTCTAAAGGGTGCCTCCACGTGCTGAGTCAGAAGTCCGTAACAAAATGCTGCGTCCTCACCTCCATCCTGCAAAATTACAGTGTAATGGGGCAAAAATAATTACGTCCACATTTCTAGTGCATTCCATGAGTATTTTCCTGCAAGGATTTTAATCTAGTACAAACTCTCTTGGTTTTTCAGGGGAAAAAAAAATCCCCTTTATGGCTCGACTCAAGTGTTGTTTTAGAAACATATAGATACCTTTTCAAGCATCTCCAGATACGGTGCAAGAGTGAAATGTGTTGCAAGTGGGGTTTGATTAGCGGTGGTTTGAGTACATAAAGGAGGTGAGGTAAAGGGAAAAACACACACGCAGAAGGCAACAAAGGTTATGGAACTCCATTAAATTATGTTCATGATTTTACTTGTCAGTGGTTCGTAATACAAAATGGTTTTCCTGGAGTCTGTTTCTCAGCGTTTGTCCCTGATTAGTGCCTACAAGTTACCTTCTGTTCAAGTCACATTCTCCTGGTTGTCTTGGGTCTCATAAATCAGAGCTGTTGCAGTTCATGGACTTTCATTGTCAGGTCTTGCACGGGCTTCTTCCTGCTGACGCATCTGGAGATTCTATCCCCTCCCCCAAGGTCTCCAACGGCTGCGATTCGATTTTTGTGAATGGGAAGGAGATGAAGAGCAAAGTGGACACGATCGTGAACTTCACCCACCAGCACTTCACCTCCCAGTTAGAGGTCACCGTCTGGACGCCCAGACTCCCCCTGCAGGTCGACATCTCGGATACCGAGCTGAGCCAGATCAAAGGGTGGAGGATCCCAGTGGCTTCCAACCGAAGGTGAGGAACCAAGGGGTTGGGGGAATGAAGTTCATCGAGGACTGTGGTTCTCAGGTTCCTGGGGCTCCGATCTGAGGCAAACGTCCTCAGGGACCCAGGCCCTAGGGAAGCTGCATCCCCAGTGGGTAATAGTGGGATCGGAGTCCAGATGGATCTGACTTGGGTACTTACTTTGACAGGAGGCGATTATAACAGGGATAATAATCATCTCTACCTCATAGAATACTTGCTAGGATTCAGTAAAACGATGCAACTCATAAGAAGCACCTAGCACAAGGCCTGGCATTTAAGGGAAGAGCTCTTAGGCTACTTTTTTTTTTTTTTTTGCGGTATGCGGGCCTCTCACTATTGTGGCCTCTCCCGTTGCGGAGCACAGGCTCCGTACGCGCAGGCTCAGAGGCCATGGCTCACGGGCTCAGCTGCTCCGCGGCATGTGGGATCTTCCCGGACCGGGGCACGAACCCACGTCCCCTGCATCGGCAGGCGGACTCTCAACCACTGCGCCACCAGGGAAGCCCAAGGGCATATTTAGTTTTAAAGGAAGCTGCCAGACTATTTTCCAGAGAGGCTGCTCCATTTTTCATTCCCACCAGCAGTGTGTTAAGTCATCCAGTGACACACACATCCACATCCTTACCAGTGCTTCAAAAGGTTACCTGCAGTGTGGTACCATTCATGATGATATAGGAAAGAGAAAGATTAGTGGTTGCCATGAGTTAAAGATGGTGTAGAAGTGTAAGGCAGCACACAGGACACCCCTGTTGTGACGGACCAGTTCTGTATCTTGGTTATGGTGATGGTTACGTGAATCTGCATGTGATAAAAATCACATAGAACTACATATACACACACACAAATGGGTATTCATTAACCTGTGGAAATCTGAATAAGCTCTGTGGTTTGTACCAACGTCAATTTGCTGGTCTGGGTATTGTACCACAGGTATGCAAGACGTTAAATCTGGGGGGCTGGGTAAACAGTGTACAGGACCTCCCTGTATGATCTTTTAAACTTGCAATGAATTTGAAATGACCTCGAAATTTAAAGTTTTTTTTTAACACAACAGAATGCAATTGTTTTATTAATATGGTATTTCTAAAACTTCATTTATTCACTCACCACTTTTATGAGACTGCAACTTTTGAGTACCACCTAGAATACACTTACTACTGTTCTTTTTTTCAGTTTTATCTGTTTATTTAAGAGAAACTCCACATCACTATCAAAAAATAGCCAACTAGTAAAAATTAATGCAAAGAAAATAAAATATTGTTATTAAATTCTGAGTAGATACAGTTTTTTGTCTGAATTTGTCTTTATGAGCTGGGAGAGACTAGCAGGTATCAGAGAGCCCTTAAAGATCGCCTGGCACCAAACAGAGACGTTCCCTGGGATATAATCAGAATGATAGAAAAATAAAATGGAAATAACCTTTCTGTATGTCAGTCAGTGTTTTTACTGCCACCTAAAATCATCTCACTTAACAGCAAGGATACTTACCCCTCACTTTGGGAAACTCAAATTGCTAGGTGCTGGTGAAATTTTTTTCCTGTAACTAATAATCTAAACTCAAATTAATTTTTCCATTTTAAAGAGTGTTGAGGAAAAAAAAATCTCATTCCTTTTACCAGTCAAGTCTGAATTAAACTCAGTCTAAGCAGTCTCCCCCCAGTATGATAATTTACTTTATATACATCACTAATAGAAGATGGTAGAACCTGTGAAAGCTAGTTTTACTTTTCTAACCTTGAGGGTTAACCTTTCAGGGAGGTGGAATGACATGTTGTTAAGAAAGTGGGTTTCAGAAGTGACATGGTGCTCGTCCCAAACTGCTAATAACGAGCTCTCTGGGCCTCATATTAACTGCTCTGATCCTTGGTTTCTTCATGTAGAACAGGAGCATGCTTCAGGGCTGTTGTGAAGAGAAATGAAGTCCGTTATAAAAAAGGAGAAAAGGGGACTTCTCTGGTGGTCCAGTGGTTAGGGCTCCATGCTTTCACTGCCGAGGGCCCGGGTTCGATCCCTGGTTGGGGAACTGAGGTCCCACAAGCTGTGCGGTGCAGCCAAAAAAATTTTTTTTTAATTTTTAGAAAAAGGGAGAGGACACCAGTAGAGGGACAGTGGCCAGGCTTGGACTCCGCATCGAGGTGACCGGTTGTGTGGCTGTGACCCAGTTGCCCCTTCTCTCTGTGCCTCGGTTTCCTCACCGGCGAGATCAGCTCCTAGAACACCCTGTTCCTCGGGGCCTGTGCAGATGACGTGGGTCACTTGTGTGTGGCTGGCAGGTGGCACATGGCCCATTTACGTCAGCTCTTTACAGGAGCATGCAGGGCAGGACCCGGCACACGCTAGGTCTAACCCAGCGCGTATAAGTCTCTGCCCCTTTCTCCCCTGACCCAAGACCCATCCACCGAGGGCCACAGACCAGTCAGTAGCCATCAAACCAGGTCCTTTCGTAAAGGACACGGGACAGGTGTATCTCGAGGAGAAGGTTCTAGAATGGCCGAGCCAGAGAGGGTTTCTCAGGGCAGGTGTGGGTAGGCGAGTAGGGGGACAGGAGGAAGGGGGAGAAGCCAGGACGCAGGTGCCAGACGTGGTTCAGTAGTTTCAACACCTCTGCGGGTCGGTGACCACTCAGATCAGGGCGGATGGGAGGTAGGAGGCTCTACCCTGATCACCTTTAGGGCCCGGAGCTCAGAGGAAGCCACTTCTGTAGAGATGGAAGGGGCTGGATGTGGGCACCGTCCCCAGGTGATGGTTCACGAGGGCCGCCCTCAGGTGTCGTCACACCTGGCCTGCATCTCCTCAAGCACACCTGCAGGGCGGTAAGGGGGGTCCTTGTCATCTCCACTCCCAAGGCGAGGTGCCCATGTGGGAGTGACTGATGGCTCAAGGCCAGCCTCCACACGGCTCTTCTGACCCCAGACCTCCCGTTCCCTCCTCTAGCCCCAGTTCATCCCCGCACGGGGGATCGTGATGAAGTTGCAGACTTCCAGAACACAGGACAGAGATGCAGCTTCTGCCCGTGTGGGGCTGGTCCCCCCACCTGGTGCTGGGTGGGCGCGGCAGGGGCCGAGCTGGGCTTCTGTGCTCCGAGCACGTGGCAGTACACGTGGCGCTCGGTGACCACCAGACAGTGCCCGGGGAATGAACGAAGGAGCAGACGGCGGGTGACCCGATGGTGAGCAGCTCACACCAAGCAAGGCAGAGTCACGGGGAATGAGGACAAAGGGGGGCGCGCGAGACACCTCCCCACAGCGATGACGTTTGCTCTGCCGTGTGTGTGTCCCAGGCCCGCCAGAGACAGCGAGGACGAAGAAGACGAGGAGAGGAAGGGGAGAGGCTGCTCTCTGCAGTATCAGCGCGCCCTCGTGCGCGTCCTCACCCAGTTCGTGGCCGAGTCACCCGACTCGGGTCAGCTGAGCTACATGCTGGGCCCCGACTGGCAGTTTGACGTCACTGACCTCGTGATGGATTTCATGAAGGTGGAAGAGCCGAGAATTGCTCAGTTACAGGACGGCAGGATCCTGGTGGGCCGGGAGCCGGGCATCACCACCGTGCAGGTACAGGCACCCGCCCCTCGCCGCCTCCCACAGCCCCGGTCTGTATTGATAAGGGTCCAGGTAGATGCTGTCGTGCAGGGCGGTGTGCGCCTGTGTCAGAGAATCATGGGCAGTAACAGAGGGTTCGTCGGTTCTAACAATCTAGACTCAAATTATATCTCGTGTTGAGAAAAAAATCTCATTTCTTTGACCAAAGCTGAATTCAACACACAGTCTAAGTAATCTTTCCCCCAATATGATAGTTTGCTTTTCATGTATCACTGATAGAAGACAGTAGAACCTGTGAAAGCTAGTTTTATTTTCCTAAACTTGAGGATTAAACATTGAGCTATGTTTTACCTTAACAGTGGACAAAAAATAAAACGTATTGCACTAAAATTAATAAAAAGCGCTCTCCATTTTATTGTAGTAATAGTAAAACTATTTTCTAGCCAACGTTGACAGGATAATTCTGCAGAAAGAGTGCAGCATAGTTTTTGAATAACAAATTAAAATGTTAATTTGTTAAACGCTCAGAGCTAATTAAGTCAGATTTTAGGTTTTGCCAAAGTTAATTTTTGACAAAGCTGTACTAAACATTATGTTTTCATTACTCTTCTGTGTCTATGTAACAAATCGCCACCAGCCTCCCAACTTAGAGCACCGCTAATTTATCAACTCGGAGTTCTGAAGCTCGGGAGTCCAGGTGAGCCTGGAGCACCAAGCCAAGTGTACCACAAGGCTGTGGTCAAGGTGTGCTCCAGGCTGGGCTTCCGTGCGGGCTTCGGAGAAGGATTTGCTTCCCGGCTCAGGTTGCTGGCAGAATGCAGTCCCTCGCAGTGTGGGCTTGAGGCCTCTCTGTTTCCTTGTGGACTGTCAGCCAGGGCTCATTCTCTGCTCCTAGAGGCCACCTGCCTTCCTTCTCATGGGGCCTCTCCATCACCAGATTCTCACTCTTTGAATCTCTCTGACTTTCCCTTCTTCCACCAGCCAGGGAAAGCACTCTGCCCGTGTGATTACAGGGGACCCACCCGGCTAACCCAGCAGAACCTCTCTATTCTAAGGCCAGCTGTGCCATATCCTATAACATAGTCGGGAGGGTGATTTCTCATCATAGTCACAGGTTTGAGAGATTAAGCAGGACCTCTTGGGCAGGACAGGTCTAGAAATTCTGCCTACTAGATATTCCTCTCCATCTGTTAGTCACCCCCGCTTGCAAGCTAGATGGTGCATTAGGAGTGGTTTCTTAGAAGGAGAATAAGATTCTCTTTCCCACTTTGCTTTCCTGGTTTACCCTATGATGACGCAACAGCCCACGCAATGGTGATTAATGGCCCGTAGTGGACATCTAACTGCCCACTGAAAAGAGTAAGTGCAGGGAGAGATGGCCGAGCACCAATCCTTTAAAGTTTTACCACAATTCTGCCATTTTCACACCTAAATATTAGTTGTTGGAAAGATGTTACTCTTTGGTGCTTGGTACCCAGGTGGGCAATTTTTAGTTATTGCCTTTAAATTAAATCATGGTTGGTTTGGGTTTTTTTTTTGAAAATACAGTGCTGTTATCATGATGTGAATCAAAGTAAAGAAAATGGACCAAGATGGTATTTGTAAAACTCCTTCACTTGGAGAGCATAATTGAACAGGGGCGTAACGCTCACACACACAATTTCCATATGTGCACTCACGTCGGGAAACCTGGGAGAACACGGTGGTGGAAACACCAGTTCAGGAGTTTTGAATGGTGTGAGGGGCAGAGACTGAGGTGTCTCGCTGACCCTGCAGGTCCTGTCGCCTCTCTCTGACTCCATCCTGGCTGAGAAGACGGTGACCGTCCTGGATGACCGTGTCACCATCGTGGACCTGGGCGTGCAGTTGGTGGCCGGCTTGTCTCTTTCCCTGCGGCCTCACAGGTTGGACAAAAGAGCCATCATTTCAACAGCAGCTGCCCAGGATGTGCTTCAAGCCCCACAGCAAGTAAGATTCCAGAATCCTTTCGTCCCTGGCCAGTTGAGACCACTTCTCTCTCGGTCACATCCTGCAAGGGAGATCCGTAGAGAGAGCACTCATAGCTGGGACTGGTGATTTTGAAGCTTCTTCCTGTTTATCCAGTCTGTCCTGTCTCTGAGAAAAGTACTCAGTGGCTTAGACACATTTTCCTCGTATGTGTTTCTAATCCATCAACCACATGCCCATATGCTACTTGCTTTAGAGCAGCCTTATCTGTTTTAGGCACAGTCCGCTGCTAGACCAAAGGCTCACGTGTTTTCCCTTTTGCCAAAGCAGGTGCCTTTTGATACAGTAAGTAAGTCCCCTACATATGAACGAGTTCCGTTCCGAGAGTGCGTTCGTTAAGTCCAACAAAGTTAGCCTAGGTACCCAACTAACGCAATCAGCCATATAGTACTGTACCGTAATAGGCTTATAATACTTTTCACACAAATAATACATAAAAAACAAACACAAAAAATAAGCGTTTTTTTTTTTTTTTTTGTGGTACGCGGGCCTCTCACCGTTGTGGCCTCTCCCGTTGTGGAGCACAGGCTCCGGATGCGCAGGCTCAGCGGCCATGGCTCACGGGCCCAGCCGCTCTGTGGCATGTGGGATCTTCCCGGACCGGGGCACGAACCCGCGTCCCCTGCATCGGCAGGCGGACTCTCAACCACTGCGCCACCAGGGAAGCCCAAAATAAGACATTTTTAATCTTACAGCACAGGACCGTGAAAAGTACAGTAGTGCAGTGCAACCGCTGGCACCCAGGGGCTGGCGTCGAGTGAAGAGGCAGGAAGAGTTACTGGCTGGAGGAGAGGACGAGGGAGGTGGTAGAGCACTGCTGTGGCCTATACAGTCCTGGGCAGCAAAGGACACAGAAGCACAGCCACTTGCAGAGGATACAGGCACGCGACAATGTACGCCGGACACGTGAACTAGCTTACGTGACTGGACGTGCGCACGCACGTTCGCATCTTTGAAAGTTCACAACTTGAAGGTTCGTAGGTAGGGGACTTTACTGTACTCAGAAATTCCATTTCAGCCACTTGAACAAGCATGGCTAATAGGCACCCAGTCACCACTGTTGACAATTATTGCCAACTCTCAAACTCTCCCCCATCTTTAAACTTTGACGTGTCTTTGATAAAGATACCAGGGCACTGTGCCTTTCAAGCCAGTGGGTCTCGTAATGCATCCTTCCTTAAGTGCTTCCAGCCAGTGCATGTTCCAGCGATCAGCACGGGCTTCCTAATAAAGAATGTTCAGAGGGATATTCTCTTGCGCCTGACTAGTTGCACCTGAATATGATTCAGATAAATTGTCTGATCTTTCAAAATGTTTTCACAAAGGTCAAAGTCAAATTCTGTTGTCTGGCATGCAATAAATTAATATACACTTTAATGCACTTGTTAAAGCGTATTGTTTCTCACATCAACTATAGCTATAGCTTAGGGCCGATGCCGCTTCCAGGCAGTGGCGAGAGCTATTCACGATGATAAAACGTAGAAATCAATTTTTCTCAGATTGTATGTTTAAATAATATTACATAGGAAATCGCATTTACATTTGCAGGTTTGAAGGAACCTGATTTTAACAGAATGCTTTGCTTTCATTTTTCTTAGGAAGCAATAGTCAGTTCTTGGATTCTGTTCAGTGACGGTTCGGTGACACCTTTAGACATTTACGATCCCAAGGATTTTTCGGTTACTGTCTCATCATTGGATGAAATGGTGGTGTCTGTCCAGGCAAACCTTCAGTCCAAATGGCCAGTTGTCGTTGCAGAGGGGGAAGGGCAAGGGCCCTTGATTAAACTGGAAATGATGATCAGTGAGCCCTGTCAGAAGACCAAGAGGAAGAGCGTTCTTGCCGTGGGTAAAGGGAACGTCAAGGTCAAATTTGAAGTAAATACTGGTGAGCACCAAGGAGGCACCAACGACGTTGAGGGCGGCAGTCGGGAATATAAAGACCACGTGAGGAACAGCATAGAGCGCGAAGGAGGCCGGGAGAGGGCCGTGCAGCAGCGGTTCCAACATGGCGCCCCTGGCGGCCACGGGGAAAGTACCAACCAAAGCACAGCCCCGCAGTCTCCCATGGAAGGAAAGGATAAGAAGCTGCTCAAGAGTGGTGGTCCAGACGCCTTTACAAGCTTCCCCACTCAAGGGAAGTTACCGGAACCCCATAATCCTAGTGACCTTACGGTGACCTCCAGGGGGTTGACCGACTTGGAGATCGGCATGTACGCCCTGCTCTGCGTCTTCTGCCTGGCCATTTTGGTCTTCTTAATTAACTGTGTGGCGTTTGCCTGGAAATACAGACACAAAAGATTCGCCGTGAGCGAGCAAGGCGACATCCCCCATTCCCACGACTGGGTCTGGCTGGGGAACGACGTGGAGCTTTTGGAGAACCCGGTGGACGTGACCCTCCCGTCGGAGGAGTGCACGACCATGATCGACAGGGGGCTGCAGTCCGAGGAGAGGAACTTCCTTCTGAATGGCGGTTCCCAGAAGACTTTCCCTAGTCAGCTGCTCAGACCTTCTGACTTTGTCTATGAGAAAGACGTGAAAAACGAACCTCTGAGTTCGTCCGGCCCAAAGAGGAAGAGGGTCAAGTTTACGTCCTACACCACCATCCTCCCGGAGGACGGCGGTCCGTACACCAACTCCATCCCGTTTGACAGTGATGGCAGCATCCAGTGGGTGTGCCCGGACATGGGGCTGGGGGCGTCCCAGGGCTTCAGAGAGTACATGGAGAGGCTGCAGGACCAGATGTAAACTCCTTTCTCATGTCTGTATTCACCTTTATGCCTTCTGCTTTTTGAATGGTGGAGCCTGAGTCTGACCAGCAATAGGGGATGAGTTAACAAAGCTTCGTTTGTGGAGGTCTGGCGGGATCCCTTTCGAAGCAGCCATCAGGGAGAGCAAAGGCAGCTGGGTTTGAAGCCAGGATGTGCCCCCAGATAAGCTACAAGGGGGTCCTGGAGAAATTCTAAGACCACGGTTTTATCTGCTGCCTGGTACTAGCTCAGTTCAAATATAATAAACCAGACCCCACAGACATTGTTAGTCATCTCGTGGCAAAACAGCCGTGTGGAATTAGAAAAGACTTGGGTTTGATTTTTCTACTCCTAGACCTTTTAAAGCACAGTGGACATTTCTTGCCCTTGGCCTGAGATTGGACATACGTGAAAGATGCTGAATGTAGCCGCCCATATTTGTTACGAGCACTGCTCATTATTTTTATATATCTTTGCACCTGCACCTGGTTCCTTTGACCTCTGCAATTCTTTTTGAAACATGAAGACAAGCAATTTCATTCTTTTCTCTGAAATCTGTTTGATTTACATATGAATTTTAGTCCCTGTGATGTGCCACGTCCTGTTATTTCCTGGGTGTCTGTGCAGGCTTTCAGGGTCTTTCCAGTTTTCCTCACTGCATCCCTTAGGGGCAATGTCTAAGAAGCTTAGCCTCATGCCGTCTTTCTTTCTTTTTGTTGTTGAACTTTCTTGTATCAGACGGGGACATGGGATTTTACTTAAAATATTAATATACTGTAAGAGAGGGCCGTCTTCTTTACAGTTTTCTACATGAAGCTTAAAAACTTTGGAGAAAAGTTGTGAACAGTGAACCTTTACTTTTATCTTCTGCTTGCGGGAGTCATGAGGACCTCTTTCCTGGGGTGCATTTCTGAGGACAAAAAAAAAGTCCTCAAAATAGTTGTATTTATACTAATGCTTTGTGGTCAACACCATTTGTTATCCAAACTGAAATCAAAATCTAAAAATGATATGCAGAGAAAGGAAATTGCATAGGAAGTATCTTCAGATTAAACTTTTCTCTTACCAGAACAAAACTTTTTAAAAACAGTAAATGAAATGATGTTTCAACTTAGCAATATGTAGAAATCTACCCATACAATGATTTCCACCCACCACCACCAAAAAAAAACCCAAACAAACCCAAAACATATATCTATTCTCAGTCATGACTCTGGCAGAGATAAAACCTATACAGGGTGTCCATTAATGGAGAACAGCAATGGGTTTACCCCCCAAATTCATAAAATAAATGACTTCCAGAAGCTTGAGAAGCAATTGTGGTGAAAAGCCATAGCTATTGGGAAATCGAAGTGGCAAGAGAGAAAAAAAAAATCATGATTCCTGCATAATTTTTAAATAAACAATGTTTTAGTATGCCTGGTCTCAAGCAAAGCAAGAATTTCAGATTAGGAAACCATGACAACGTTCTATGAAGATGCGCTAGCTGGAAAATCAGACACTGGATGAGTATATGCCTCATTCTGAGCTTTCTTGAGCCATTTGCATCTCTGAGAGGCAGAATTTTAAAGGCCCAAACAGTCAAGGACCTGCAGGAGGTGTTGAAACAGTTTCTTGACTCCTGATGGCTGTTGACTGGGCTATTCAAAAGGGTGTGCTTCCGTGGTTCTCTTCTAGGGTTCCGTGGACAGGAGTGTGACAACCAGCCTTCTCCAACCACGACATGGCAGACACAGAATTCTCCTTGTATCTCTTGCCCACAGGACTACAATACGTTTGTAAACTGCACCTAAGTTACCAGTGATAACGCTGCCTGACCTCAGAGGCTGGTGTTCAGTTGCTCTTGTGTTTAAAATGGGGGTTAGGAGCTGAAGCTGCTAAGGTTCCCCAGATCTTCCAGTTTGATTGGGGAATGAAACCAGGAGACCCAGGCATCAGCTTCCAAAGGAGTTTGCAAAGAGATGGCTGACACCTTGTAGGAAGAGCTCCTCTGGTGGCCAGAGGAAGCTGCCTCTGCTTTTCAAAGGGCTTGGCAAGGAGGTAGCTCAAAGCCAACTGTGTAGGGTTGGAGAGGGATTCAGGCACTCGCTGAAACATAGCTGTCCCCGGGAGCCCTGCTTCTCCTATCAGATATTTTCCATTTTCTCTCCCTTTGGGTCTTGGACATTCCAGACAGGGTGGGGATGTCATTTCTGAAGCTGAGGACCCTCAACTGATACAGGGGGTGAGTCTCTCTCACACACACAGCAGGCTGCCTCGCACTGGTAAAATGAGACTTCCCGTGGGTATAATTCGGGAGGGGACAAAGGAAGTTACTATTGTCACGGGGAGGCTTATTAAGTGGCACACAAATTAGAGCGTCTCCTGTGGTCCGAGTGCTTGCCGTGACGCAGAAAGCAAACGGGAGAATCGGAAAGGGCCAGGGGTTTCTCTGCGGAGCCGGGAACTGACCGTGGCTCTGAAGACGCCTCCCTTGGGTAAGCTAACGTCACCCAGAGTGATGCACAAACCACCTTTGCTGGTTTCTGTTGAGACTCAGTCAGTTCAAAATAAAGATCAAATGGAAGGTTTCAGGGCAGAGATCCCTTTTATCATACCACACACACTCCCATATATGCACACGTACATACGTATTATACCCACGTGTGTGTGTGTGTGTGAATAGTGAAGAATCAGAAATTCAGTTTTTTTGTGGGAATCAACACTGTCAGTTGTTCTCAGATTTGGTGTGGACACTATTCAGCTTAACAGAATCACTGAAGTTCTTTCTGCTCTAAATATTCCCTGCTGACTAGAAACTATGGGTTATATCGGCTTGTTTTCCAACTAGTCAATTTAAAACAAATAGGAACTATACCTCCAAAATATTTCAGCTCAAATGGGGGGGGCATGGGACCTCCCTGGTGGCACAGTGGTTAAGAATCCGTCTGCCAGTGCAAGGGACACGGTTCGATCCCTGGTCCCGGAAGATCCCACATGCCACAGAGCAACTAAGCCCGTGCGCCACAACTACTGAGCCTGCGTGCCACAACTACTGAAGCCCGCGCACCACAACTACTGAAGCCCACGCGCCTAGAGCCCATGCTCTGCAACAAGAGAAGCCACCGCAATAAGAAGCCCGCGCACCGCAACGAAGAGCAGCCCCCGTTCGCCGGAGATACTGGAGAAAGCCCGCGCGCAGCAATGAAGACCCAATGCAGCCAAAAAAATATAAATAAATAAAATAGGGGGAAATGACATAAATTGCTAAGGCTTGAAATATGGTTCGCTGGGGGCAGGTTCTTACGGCTGAGATACCCAAAGGATAGTTGTCAATAACCTGAAAGAAACGATGTCAATAGAGTCCCTTCCTCTCCCGTGAGAATGGGATGTTCAGACTCCCCTTGAGGCAGACACCAACAGCCTCTAGAGGGGACACCAGGCCGCGAGCTCCATGAGTCACACGGAGGGCAATTCAGATGCCCCATGAGGGCCAGGTGACCTACACCCGTGGAGGATGTGAGACCACTGTCTCCAGGGGCCAAACAGGCTGCTTTCCAGGCCAGCGTACAGCTATCAAGGAGCAGCTGCCACACAGAAGTCCTGGAGAGTTAAACCTACAGTGTTGCATTTGAGAGAAAGAAAGAAGAAAAGACACTGGAGGTTTCCCCTGGAAACCTCCCCCAAAGGACACACTGGCTAGCAGACCTCAGGATACTCTGTGTGAACCAAAAGGGAATAACTGACTTTCCTGGCTCTTTTCTTTTGCACACTGGTCAGCCTGAGTTCCCAGACTACAATCATCCTTAAACTGTAGGCAGAGAGTTTTTATTTATAAAGATTGCAGGGGAAAAAAATGGATTAATTTTTGTCCCTTTGCTACATCTGTAGATGAAGTATTTTGTACCTGGATAATTTTAAGTTTTAGGAAGTCTGCCCTTGTGCATGTTGATCACCATTCTTGTCTCACTCTTTTAGAAGGGTGTCTTCCCAATGTTGGGATGTTGGGACCACAGTAAAGTGTCTGAGAAGATCATTCATTCCAACTCCACTGACCACAGAGGGTGGTTTCACCTGAATCTTTCCTTTACCATTGACACCATTGTTTTTCTACTCTTGTCAACTCAAAAATGGCCTCAATTCTCCGTTCTAGTCTCTGTAAATGACACGATAGATGGTTTATAAACCCAGCGACCATCTCCTCCCTCAAAATTATATTACGTGTAATGTATTGCGTGTCACCTGTTGTGTACAGGAACAGTATGGGTGGTGGAGGAGTTGCGCTAAAATATGGACATAGCGGATATTTTTGTATGTAATATAGGCAATATACTGAAACACTGAAAGGTGTGTTGGAATAAATACGTTTTAACATAAAAGCATGCAAAGCTATAGCTTTTAAATGTACAGACATCCCGCTCAGAAATACCTAAATTGATTATGGGAAAACTTCAGAACCTGACATCGTGAAATGCACTAAATTAAAGGTGCAGCCTTTAGAGGGCATGACTTCTGTTGGGGTTGTTGATGGCATCTGCCAGAACATTTTGATCTTACTCTTCCTTACTTTTGGATTTTTTTCCTTTTTCTTTTTTTTTTTTTTCCTGGAAATATCTCAGAAATAAAGTGACATCCTTTTCCAGCATAAAGGTATATACTAACCACAGGGTAATTCATCCTTTTTAACATGAAAATAAACATTTAAACATTCTCCAGTGGTTTCATTATTTTATCCACATCTTTTACTGGCAGCATCTCTATGATTTGACTATCTTTATATATATATATATATTTTTAGCCGGAGATTTTAACACCTTTGACGCAGCAGTAAATGGAAACCAAAAGAAAATGTTTCTTGAAAGTTGCAAATAACTTTGACCTTTGAAAAATGTAAACTTTTCATGTGTTGTCCTAGCAGACTGGGGGACACTTCTTCCCTGATGTTTCAGAAGGAGGACTCCTGTTTTGCAGGTCCCTGCCCAGGGTCAAACTGTCTTGGACTCAGTGCTGACATGTAATGCGTCAGCCCTGCCGTCTTCTCCCTTTTGGGCTCTACTTATCTGTGACTCACTCGTGTTTCCGTATTTGGGGCAGGGGCTTGTGGTGCTGAGAGCCCAGAGTAGGTAGAGCTCTAGACGTGTAAGAAAAACACAAGAGAGTCGGGGATCCTGCTCGGAAGGCTGATGATGTCTCAGCTGAAAGGTTGCCGGGTGTATTGCTGAGTCCCCACGGCTCTCTGTGGCTTGTATGCCCTTTCTGACGCTGCCAGCATCATCTTTGGCATTTTGGCAAATGGCACTCCTTGTTATCAGGATGAAAAGGGATGTCTCTATGGCAGTAACTTGACATGTCATAATAAATGCCCCACCCCGCGCCTGATCTTTCACTGGGCCCTCCAGACATCATATGAGGAAGTGAGTGTCAACCTAGGAATTGGCCTCGTGAAATGAAATCTGCAGAGTCACAGGCTTCAGATGAGCCCAAATGCTTTCCCAGTTTCCACACATGCCCCCATCGGCAGGATTTCTCACACTTTGGGTGAGTGTTTCCCACTAACAGCCCCTTCTTCTTTTTCCTCCTGGAATGGAGGAGGACAGAGCCACAGACCCCGAAGGCTCTCCCCAGATCTCAGCGTGCATGTATGCAGTTTAGTAAAGTTGGTTTCTGAAAGAGGGAACAAAGAAAGTTTGAAATGAGGCTTGTAAAAAAGTGAACCCTTTAGATTTTGACCTCTGTGTGTGCAAAATGCAAACACTGCATTGCAAACTTTTTGATATTGAAATGCTTAATGCCCGTTAGTTTCTTTATGGTTTTATACAATTTAGATCAGTTACACAGGTAGTTTATTGGTTTATATAATTTAGATCACTTACAGAGGTTTTGTGTTGTTTGCTTTAAACATTTTTTTTAAAACACAAAGAAGTGCAGAAACATTCTAACCCGGTTACAGTGTTTGTAGCCTTTTCTATGAGTCAAGATGGCAGGACATGATCACTTTCCAGGTGGGAAGTAACAATTCAAGTCTGATAGAGAAATTGTGCTACCTGTCCAAGAAAGCAGCCATGCCATCCACTGACAAACTTGACAATCCTCCCATTTCATGAGATGCCTTTATAATTTCTATGGCTCTTGGTCAGTTGTTCTGCAATTTCTTTAGGTGCTGCAGCAACTGAGGTCAGTTTATACATCTACGCCGCCCACTGGAATAAAGCACTTTACAAACAGAGGGATGGATATTGCTTTGGGATTCAGGGTCCATGTGATGTTGACTTTTCCACCCCCTAGACAACATTACTTCTCTAAGATGGCTTAAATCACTTCTGACCTGAAACTTCTTTCTTTACTTCAATTGGTCAAAGAACGTGAGCAACGTTTTATTTTTCCCTGATAAGGTTGGAGCTGAAATAATCTGCTATTTTATTGTTACGTCTTATAGGGATCTGAGTCACTGAAGGAAATAACCCAAAAAGCCAGTGTAGACACTTCCCCTTGATAAAGTTTTTTCACTTAGAGATGCTTCCTTAGACAGTGTGCCTTTTTTCCCCCTGTTGTAATTACTGTAGGATCTCCATTTAATCCATGTATATTCCCACATAGCGTGCTTTATTCCCATAAATATTTTAGGCTGACAAGGGTCACACTCCAGGCATTGTTAAGCACACCTTTCCAGGTTTTCAACGCTTTACTTTACTATTCTGGTTGGTTGTAATGCCACTTGGTGCATCTGAAAATTTGCATCAGATCTGCTACCATATCAGTTACTCCAGAGCAATGAATTGTTCAGTACCACCAGCTTATGTGGCAAAAGATGCCAGGACTGGCAGACGGAGGGACCCAAGTACTTCCTCTGGGCACAGACCAGCAAGCAAGTGATTCCCTCTTCCTGTAGTTGTCTTCCACCGGGAGCCTTTTTCTGGACTTCTAGCAAGGGCGTCAGTTTAAAACCCAACGTGGATTCCAAGAACAAACCCATTGCCCGAACCCCGTGACAGTTGGTGTTCTAGGTACATCAGTGCAGGTTTAAGCAAACGCCCAAACTATGAAAGGCAGGGGCTGAGAGTGGAGAATGAAATAATAAGCAACTGATCAAAGCCAGGAAAAAAGAAGTAGCTCTGCCACTCCCTGGCACACAATGAATATTGTACGGCAGATCCGTGCTCTTGCAGGGAGTCACATGTGTCTCCCCATGGCAAACAATTTTTCCAATGCTGTTTATCTGTAACACGTGTCTGAAGGGCATGCTGTTTGCTGACGATTTAAATCTGTATCCTCAGCCATCAGTTCCCAGCCCCAGACTCTTCTCGGGTGGATCCCATCTGGGCTGCAAAATACAGGGAGTGACCAGACCCACATCACCCAGCCAGTTCTAAACTTTTGGGTGGCTTCAAGGCCACAAACACAGTGGGAACAAATTCTGTCTGGTGTTTGAAAAAAAAAAGGGGGTGTGTGATCTTCTATCTCCGTTCTTCTGAGTTGGATTCTTATTCCCTGGTAAACACCAGCTATTATAAACAGAGCATGCTGTTACAGCATTGTGCTTCTCTATACTTTTTTGCTTGTGTAATGAACCCGTCTCATACTATCCACGGCTTTCAGTATGATTGATCCATTGTATCTGTCCCACAGTATATTTAACCTATCTGTAAAGGCACTTCCAAACATTTTGAAAATGAAGAAATAAAATGTGTTGGATGATTCCTTGTCATAGTAAAACAATCAGTGGGTAAGCTCCAGGAAATTATCTCATCTTCTCATAGTTGTTCAAAGGAAGATACTAAGAAGTTTTTAGTTTCAGTGTAGGGGCAGCTGTCTTCAGGGTTTTGAGGACAGTCATTGGCCAAGACCTTGAGAATTTGAGAAAAGCATGGTGTATTTAAGTGTGAGAACAAGATTCTGAAGGAAAGAGGCTTGCTTTTGTGCCCTAGGGCAAGTACTCTGGCTAACCAGCCAGTTGAACTAACTTTCCCTACGTTAAGAAGGTTCGTTCCAGAAAGATGACAGTGGTGACTTTCTGTAGTGCAGACAGGCAAACTCAGTTCTTGGAGAAAGCCAAGAAAAGT